GTGGGGGGGGGGGGGGGGGGGGGGTCTGAGAGCAAGGTACTGCAGCTGTAAAACTGATTTAAATATATTGCATTTTAATGGGTGCTAATAATTTAATAAAATACACGATCATTGCAATTTGCATGTAAATACCACACTTCTGTCAGGACCACTATCGTCAAAGATTATTGACAAATAGCATACAGTTTGGATTGGCGGTATGGTTCTGTTCTGGGCAAGAACTCCCTTCGCATCCATGCAGCCTAGCATGGATGAGAGCAGGGAGAGCAGCGATAACCCCCCGCAGGATAAACAGAACAGAACCAACATAAATGCATTGCAGGTATCGTTAAAGTTCAATAATGTTATGTACACATTTTAGAATTAGTCTGATTCAAAGGAGAATCAGAAGGCTGAATCCTGACTGACAGAGGAGGAGCTGGGGATGGAGGAGGGTAATTAGTTATTGAGCAATGCGAAAACTGCTGATAATACTGAGGGACCTTATATATGAATGCTTAGATAGGTGTCGTATTCCCATAGGTTGATGGGGATCAGCTGAAAGTCAGCTGATGCGAGCTTGACTAACGTGACCTGCCAGAACTAACGCTACGCTAGATTTTAGTTCACAATTATGAAATAATCCGTTTGACATTTTTGGCCTCTAGCAGAGGAGGAGACAGACAGATAGCAGCAGAAGTAAGTTATTCATTCTCTCCAAAGTGCATGAATGTGTGGGATTTTTTTGGGTGCAGGCGCTTCCAAGCAGCTGGTTCCCCCGGGGCCTCACAAGACCAAAACCTGTTCCTGAATTCCATGTATGTGATTAGACATGCTATAGGGCTGAATATACTTAACACCATTATGCTTGTGTACCATGTCCTGGTGTGTAAAAATGTTTTGTTAATGGGTCATTGTGAGTGTGCACTCATGTGGTAGGGGTCCCTCTTATTGTGTCTTTATGGCCTAATTTCATAGCTGAATCGCCACTCTCTATATCAGTTTAATGTGCTTTATTAACTGTTCCTATTGCATTTGCAGCCTATCTGCACACTATTAGTGTAAAATAAGTATTAGTAAACCTACAGTTGTGCAAAGACCCTCTATTTGTCTTCTTGAGGTGTTGTGCATCTAGTAACTTGAGGAATGTTAACTGGAGCTTAATGAATTTAGGTCACTTTTAAGGGAAACGCGGTTAGAAATGGGGTACAGAGAGACAGAACACTGGACTGAGACGGTTAAAAATTTATTTGTATTTGTATATTCTGTATAGTCTTCACAAGTGTTTATGCGATGGTTTTATTTATATATATATACATATATATATATATATATATATATATATAATATTTATTTAATTTTTAAAGTTTTATTAATTCATTAATTCACAATTCATTTTTGATGATAAATTTGTATTAGATCATGAAACTAATGCTACTAAATAACACTCGTTTACACCAAGTCTTTACATTCACACGTTTTTGCATGGGATGTGCATCCAGGATTTTTGTTTCAGTTATGAACAATGAGTCTTTCATGGAAGTCTAATTTCCTTGTTCTTCTTCATTACTTATTTACCAAGGGATCAAGTGATGAAGATAAATTTTTACAACCAAGGAATATTTCTTTGTTGTTACAGCAAAGTTTAAGCATTGGTTATCACTCATGAAATGATCTCTCACACACTCTGATAAAGCTACGTTTGTGTTAATGATTGTGAGTGTGATGTTTTTTACAGAAACTGCATGTGAATGTGTCTGGTGGAGAATCAAGCTCACGAATCTGGTGCTTGGTGCTTATTGATTTTGTGACCATTGCTCCACTATGACCCATTTTACAGGAAAGGTCTGAGCTGTGAGGTTCAAGGTGTTTGCAAATTTGCTTTGTTAAACAGAAAATATATTAATATTTTGAATAATAATATTAGTGACCATGCTAAATGATATAGAATTATAAAAATGAATGAAGTGGCACATGAGCCTTAAGAGGCCGTGGGGAACTTAAGGCAGAAAATACTGTGCAACATAAAGCATGAGTTGTGTCTGGAGGGTGTGTTCGTGTTAGGCATGGGGTGTCAGCTTCCAGCTGTGCAACATATTCAGAACATAACACTTTGATTACAGGGATTTAGAGGGATTTGAGCTCTTTGTAATACAAATACATGCATTCTTCTTTCTTTTGGTTAAATGTTTGCAGAGAACTTATAGAATACACTATAGCCTATATATAAAAAAGGCAGTGTGACATTTAGAAATGCCAGTCTGTCTTTGTAGCTAGGGTTTAAGGTTTGGCTGGTTAGCATGGCCCCATTAGCCCCTGCTATAGCAGATGAACTAAAGTGATAGTCCACTCAAAAATACAAATTCTGAATTCATCATTTACTCACCCTTATGTCATTCTAATATCTTTCTTCTGCTGTTTTGGTTCACACTGACTTCCATTGTAGTTTTTGTCCATACAGTGGAAGTCAATGGGAACCAAAACTGTTTAGTTTAGTAAACGTTTAATTTGAGTCTTTTTAAATGACATGTAATATTGCCCCCTAGTGGTGTTGATGTGCTCTGACATGTCGTGTGAAACAAAAATCATACTTGTTTCAGTTGGGTTTGGAACTCCCCATATTCTACAGATTTCTGATCATATTTAATGACTTTTGATTTTTGTTTATGAATATTTATTTAGTAGAATCTTTGCTAATCAGATTACATTAGCTCAGATTATAATTGTTTACTGAAAATAAATTAGTTGTAAATTAATGTGTAACTATTTGAGAATGTGAGATTCAGATTTCGGTTTCTTGAGACCAGCAAGCAAATAAATACTAAATAAAAGAAATAAATAAAATTAAAACAATGATTGTGTTCAGACACCATACACAGAGAATTAAGAAATATGAAATATTTTAATTAAACATGTTACAAATTTCTTTCTTTCATTCCTGTTGTTCCTGCACGTACATTGACTCGCACAGAAAAACACACATAACCAGTCATAACCACATTTCCGCACACACACACACACACACACACACACACACACACACACACACACACAGAGCCCTGGTCTCTGGAGGAAACACTTGGCCGGTGGTCAGACAATCTAAAAGTCTCTGACACTGTTAACCTACAGAGAGGAGAAAATGGATCAAAAGATAAAAATGTGAACACTAATGGATAGAAATCATTTTTACTTCTGCAACAAATTTTATTTGAGCTATTTTGGAAAAGTGTGGAGATGTAACATAAATATCTTGTTCAAATTTGGTTAGGCAGGTATTGGATATGGGTGTAAAGCAGCAGTTGATGATTCTTTGAGGTAGCTTTGTGTCTAACCCTATTTCTGTTTGCTTTCCACTGCAAACTTTTCATACTAAAAAGCTTCTGAATTACAGTCTTTCATCTCCTGAATACACTGTACTAGTCTTGTACTAGTCCTCAAGCCAAAGTTAACAATTACAGGAGTTAGTTTTATGTAAAATACCTGCAGTTTGTACATCAGAGTGATGTAGCTAGTTGATTTACACTACAGTCAGATGCAGTAGTAGATCTTTCTTACACATGATTTAGCGTTAAATTTCCACATAAGCACTGATTGGTTATTCACTATAAAATGATGTGCTTACCAGAGGTTTTGATTAATTAATTCTGGAACCAGTCAATGAAGTATGCGCAGATGCCCTGGAGACTCTTCCAGCAGTATTCCTCTGCCATCTTGGTTGCTTGACTCTCCTCCGCCACGGTGGGTCTCGCTGTGATGGTCTTTACAGGTTTACGTGGTGGAACAGGCTTGGAAACGGCAGGCTTGACTGGTTTGGAGGCTGGTTTGGCAGGTTGTTGAGGTTTAGGCTGCTGCTTTTGGCTGGGAGGTTTGGTAGGCGTGATGCTGGACTTGACCTGCTGCTGTTGCTTTTGCTGGTTCTGAGAAGCTTGGGTCAGTTTGGGGAAGGAGATTTTGGGCCAAGAAGCATGGAACGCCATTTGGACCTCATCCGAAGCAGAGCGGCACATGTGCGGCTTGTAAACCTGTGGTCCCTGACAGGCGTTCTGGAGCTTCCTCATGTCCCACATGATCTGAGTGAAATAATGCCGAGGGTTGTTGTTATACGCTCTGCAGAGGTTAGGCTTGCCCAGGAAATCGCACCAGTACGACTTGCCCTTGCTCTTGCAGGAGACACGCAGCTTGGTGAAGTTGGTCTGGCCGGAGATCACCATGGCGCAGCTATCTTTTGCTTTGGTGTTGAAACAAATGGGCTCATCCCAGATGCTTCCTTTCAGCTGCTGCTGTCGACTGTTTTGGGTGCTGTCGATGTGGTTGATGCTGTTCGCCTGGTTACTGCTGTTCTGAGCCTGAGCATTGATGGCCCAAATGAAACAGACCAGAAGGATAGCGGCACTGCATATGGCTCTCATGATGGAGGTGTAGAAGAGACTGAGCGGAAGGTGTTGGAGGGGCAGGCTGGCTTTATAAATACAAGTCCCACAAAGGGGTCTTTGAGCAGGGCAGATTGCACACATCCCTCCAGACTGGTGGGCCTCTAGTCTCC